GAGAGAGAGAGAGAGAGGTGTGTGGAGGATTCCCTTATGGTTGAATACTACACCATGCACCTCGTAATATTTTATTTGTAATAAATAATTGTCAAAAAAAAACAAATCTATTTATAATAGATGATGTTTATACATATCACAAAAATTCCCTTTGTAAGTAATTTTGCTGTAAAGATGATATCATCAGCATAACACACCAGAACAATAACTCTAGTAGATTGTTTCCGGACAAATGCTGACTGTCACGGGACTCCGTTGAAACTCTTATGCTATAACAATTTCTCTAAACTTCTTATATGCATGTGGGGGTTGCTTAAGGCCATTACTTGCTTTCATCAACTTACATACTTTGTCTGACTACTCTTGAGCAACAAATCGTAGTGGTTGCTCCCTATACACCTGTTCTTGTGAATCATCATGTAGGACTGCATTCTTGATATCAAGTTGCCGCAATAGTGACCCCTTATTTTCTGCTACGGATATGAGCACTCGAATAGCATTAAGCTTGGCGACTGGAGCAAATGTCTCTGAATAGTTAATACCAAAGGTTTGTGTGTACCCCTTTTCCGTTAGCTTGGCTTTTAACCTCTCCAAATCCATTTAGCTGATATTTAACTATATACACCCAACGGTATCAAACTAGTCTCTTTCGTGCCGGCAGATCATTATGCTCCCACATGCCATTTGGTTGAACTACAGCCATCTCCTCGTCCATTGCTCTCTTCCATCTGGTATGTGAAAGAGCTTCCTAATAGGGCTTAAGTACATAGATGGAGGAAGTGCGAAAGCAAAGTTCCTATAGGAAGAAGGCATATTTTCAAATGTAACAAAATGAGGAATTGGATATTTAGTACAAGATCGCTGATCTTTACGAAGTTCTATCGAAAGATTAACATTATCATATGCCCAGGAGTGCATTGTGGGGCAAGAAGTGGACGTAAACAAAGATGAAGTTTGATTGGTTGGCTGAGCTGGTGGTGATGGCACTTCCTTCACTTTCCTTCTTGTATATGCTTTGAGGGGTGGGTCCTGTGGAACATTAACAATAGGAGGAAAGATAGACTCTACAAGAGTAGACACTTGAGGTGGTGAGAAGAGTCATCAATGGGAATAGGAATGGGGATAAGAATGGAAGAGGAAGAAGAAATGGGTTTTTCGTTGTGCAAATTCTCTCCTTGAGTGGGATCCCTTAAGTCAATTAGAAAAATATGGAGTATTTAAAAAAAAGGTAACATCCGCACAAACAAAGCTTTTCTTGAATATAGGATGATAGCATCAATAACCTTTTTGTCTATGAGAATATCTAAAAGACGCACACTTAACAATTGGAGGAGTACCAGGGCCCAGAACATGGACAAAACAAACTCACCCAAAAATTTGAGGGATCTTAAGCAAAGGTCCATTGGGAAAGAGTTTATGGTGTGGTGATATTCTATCTAAAACAGAGGAAGGCATGTGATTTATCAAATAATGAATAGTCAAATGCAACATCCCCCGCTATTATATGAGAAATTTTCCTCTATCTCCCATTCTGTTTTGAGGGGTGCGCACATGTGATATTTGATGCAAAATAATATGTGTGGCTAAATATTTCTAAGAATCTTAGGATAAACATTTCATTGAAAATATCCATGTCATCCAAGAGAAATCATCCACAAGAATTTAAAAAATACTTGTAACGTAACAAAATCTAAACTCTAGAAGGACACCAAATAACTGAATAAAAAATACCTGTAACGTAACAAAATCTAAACTCTAGAAGGACCCCCAAATAACTGAATAAACAATTATTAAAGGAACGTACCTGCGTGTATCGACTCTTGGGTGAAAAGGAATCCTATGATGCATGCCTAACTTTCAAGCCTCACAATCTAGGGTTGATACATATTCTATCAAAGGAATTAACAACTTTGAAATTATTGATAGATGGATGACCATACCGGCAATGCCTTGGAAGAGGGGAAACACTGGAATGAAGAGCAATACCAACAAAATTCGGTTGAAATAGTAGAGTCCACTAGACTCACGGCCACCACCAATCGTCTACTTCGCCTTTAGATCCTAAAAACCAAAGTATTAAGGATAGAAAGTCACTGAACACCAAACAGATTTGGTTAATTTTCCGACTGGCAACAAGCTGAATGGAAACTTTGGAAGATAGAGAACAAATGGCAATGAAAGTGAAGAAGTAAGACAAACAATGTCTTTACTAGACACACTAAATAAGGAACTAATGTAGCAAAAGTAGTAGAATCTGATGGCTTGAGAGAAGAAAACACAAAAGACTCACTCTAGTCATATGATTAGAGGCTTATGAAACAATGACCCGGGGAGATGGCCTCTGAGATGCAATAAGTGCAGTATCTATATTTGCCAGAGTGGCAGTGGAAGAAGAGGGATCAGTAGATAGCTGTTGACTTTTCATCGGCTTGTTGTATTCTTCACATTAGAGCAAAACTGTCACTAGCAGAATTAAGAGCTCGGTTTTGATCATTGGATCCAAGTAAATGCATATTATCACTCTTAGAATAGGTCGCCTGATTAGCTCAAGTGGGCTATTAAACTTATCCCTACATTTTTCAGCCGTTTGGTTGGTCCGTCCATAGAGAGTGCACTTCCTGTTACCTCGGCCTCTACTACGACCTTCCTCTGAATCACAACCACGTCCTCTATTTTCACCACCATGACCTCTACCGTCACCTCTGCCCATGGAGGAAGTCAAGGCAGATTCATCACTAGTACTGGCAGCTGTTGGAGGGGTAGATATGGTAACTTGTTGAAGACAGGAATGCACATTGTTGAGAGAGCTTATTGCTAGCTAAGATTTGCTCAAGAACAGAATGGTACTCACCCATATGGCCGGACAAGAATTTTGCAACTCTAAATTCTTCCCTTTTCTTGTTTAGGAGGTCTGTATCATTTGATAGGGGTGGATTCATGTTTAACTCTTCCCACGTACCTCGAAGAATATTGTAGTAGTCACTATGGCTCTTGTCACCTTGCTGTAAAAGAAATATGCTCTCATAGAGTTGATAAATTACAGAGATAAAATATCAGAAAACTATATCTCATGCATTGCCTCCAACATTTCCTTGACAGTATCAAAAAACATAAAATTAGCACTCTCGCATGGGTTCCATATTGTTCCATAACTAGGTCATAAGTTGATAATTTTCCTTAAGCCACTTTTCATACCAAGGATCTGACTCTTTCGCCCCATCTTTAGTTAAAAATTTCATCGTACTCCTTGCACTTGAAATAGCGTTATAGACTGGGCCCTTAGGAGGTAATTCTGCTCATTTAATTTCATATTAGTTGCTGGAATTCCTATCTTGTCATTTATGAGTAAAAAAAATCCATGCTTAATTTCTTCAGCCATAAGGGCAAGACAACCACTGGAAAAAAAAGGTGTGCAAGGATATATCAGGTCGAGCACACTATTAGAAGCCCTAAACCCTAAAACACTACTTGAACCTTATTATTCAATGAATCACAAAAAAAAAAAGGTTGCGTGGCAAAGGACTGAACAAACAACATTTCAGTAACTCATGGAGAGAATACTTATTATTCTGGTGTCAATAAATAAAGATCTCTCTGCTAGAACTCGCGGATGAACCCCAACATGCCTTCAACAGCTTCAGCCACTCACGTCGAGACATTTCAGCAACTATACCTCTTGGCTTTCGACATCCAAGAGAGGGAACCTCAGTAACACAAACATTCACAGCACCCACAGGCCAACATTCTGGCCTTGCACACACAAAAAAGGAAACTAGGTACCCATTGACGAAATCAACTCCAATGCATTTAGGGTATCCTTTTTTTCCCCCCTTTTGAAAGGAAAGGGGAAGACAAAATGAGAGGGGAAGATGAGAAAATCAGTTTAGATTTGCTCAGATACCATGTTGACAATCAACAAATCACAAGAAGATGAAGAAAAGAGAATAAGGAAGAAGTAAGACGAGAGAGAGAGAGATTGTGACATAATAGGGTGCATCGAGGAGATCTAATTCCCTTAGGTTTGAATACTCCTCTGTGCATCTAGTATTTTATTTATAATAGGATAGTGTTTATATATATTACAAAAAAAGTCGTTGTATGTAATTTAATGAAACCTAATTTCTTAAAGTTTATAAAAATGACAAAGATAACCACACTGCAGTGAGCACTAATAACCACAAAATAATTTAATCTTTAACAGTCTCCGACTTGTTTTGAAACTAAAAGTTTTTTGTGTGCTTTTCAAGGGAATAGGGAATTCAATGCCTGAGTGGCAGCCTTGTTTTGTTGTGCTTGCTGGGTTATACCTTTATGTTCTAGAGTCTGAAAAAGCTCAGACCTACCAACGCTGTTGCAGGAATGTGATCTTTTTTTCCTTAATTCAATTTGGTTTCTTGCTGTCACTGTGATCCTATGGCCAATGGTTTCACTTTTATCTGTCTTGATAGTTATCCAATTCCTTTTTTGCTCAAAAGTGACTTTCTCAATTTGGAATTACATTTCTCTTCTAACAGCATGGCTGGTCGACAAGTTTTCGAGGTTTCTCCTGCAAGTGTTGGAGGATCACAATTTTCAGTTGCTGTGAGTTTTAGGGGCCTGGATATGCAGAAGGTATTGTTTTCTCCAGGTTATGTTGCTTGAATGTGAATCTCTTTTTTATTCTTCAAAGCTATTAGTGGTAGAGAAAAATTGAAAAGTATTACATGCAGGGACAAGTAAATAAATGATTTAATGGATGGTGGAAATCCTACATCCAAATTTGCTACACTAACCTATAACCATTTACCCAGAAAACACCAACTAATAACCTATTTGCTTTTTTGACTATCATTCTCATTTCCGTGCAGGTGCCTTATTGTTTCTAAATATTATTGTCCTTCCTCTAGGGGACTTGACCAACATCTCTTGACATTGGGCCTCTCCCTTTTCAGTTAGAGCTTGTTCAAAATGCTGATACGAATTCTTACTCCACTTGCAGAACCTATGGCCAAGACTCTTCCGGGCTAGGTTCCTGTTGAGTAGCAGCACCTTCTCTCATAAACCAGGCTATTGCAATGTCTCACTTTGCATGTCCTTATGTTACCCTAGGAGAAAACAGTTGTTTCTTTATTTCTATACCCTGGATAACCAATATGCAGATCTTCCATAGAAATTTATCCCTTCTATTCCAAGCCAAGTCTGCCCATTCTTTCATTAAAGAACATTTTACCAAACAGTAAACCCATTAGTGATGAAACAGTCATAGTCATCATCGTAATCATCGAAGCCTTTTCCCAACTAATTGGGGTGGGTTACACGAATCTTGGTCCGCTATTCTGCTCTATTAAGGGCCAAACCCTCAATGAGGCCAAGTCTCTATATCTTTCTTCACTACTTCCAACCATGTCCTTTTGGGTCTACCCCTTGCCCTTTTTTATCCTTCTTCTTGAACTATTTCGCACCTCCTAACAAGTATTTTATTGAGTTTTTTCCACAAATGGCCAGCCCACCTAAGTTTACTCTCATCTTAGCGCGTATTGATATCACACTTAAATTCTCCTGAATGTATTCATTTTGAAATCTATCCCTAGTCTTTTTGCTTATCCATCTCAACATCCTCATCTGAACTACACTCATTCTATAGGGTTGTTGTTTCTTGATCTCCCAACATTGCACCCCATAAAGTAAATCTGGTCTGAAATATGTCCTATAGAACTTGCCCTTCAGCTTCACAGGTATGCAGTTATCACATAAAACTCCGGTTGTGCAGCACCACATTCCCCCACTCTGCTGTAATTCTATGTGCAACATCTTCCTTAATCTCTCCATTTTCTAGATTATCGACCCAAGATATCGATAGTGCACTCTACTACCACAAATTCCTTTTGAGAAAAGATCAGTTAATGTATACTTTCTTCCTATACTCTTCTCATTCTTGCAAATTCGTTTCTTCATTGGGATGAGCAGGGATCTGAAACCAAGCCTGCATGGATATTCAAACTTCTTTGGGAATTCTGCCTAACCGCAGGCTTTATTTTAAATTTTTGGTGCATGGTTATAATATGATCCTGTTTTTTCCCATTCTACCTTGATATTGCTTCTTTCTTTGTAATCTTTCCATGCAAACTCCAATTAATAGGGCTGGCACCAAAGAACGGTCGGTGAAAATGTTTAGCTGGAAGAGGGCAGTGTGAAAGTTAAAAATGAGTTATGCTTAAGGAGTTTATATTTTCTCAAAGAATTAGGCAATTCGCTGCCTAATTTTTTCTAGGCTTATATGTACCTTTTGTTGTATAATAGTGAAGAAGTTCATTCTTTTTGGCTGTTAATTGCATAAATTAAACAATTTTTTTAATGCTGTTTGTGATGATATTTGTTAATTTTCCTTTGTTGATCAATCCTTGAATGATTTCAACTATGTTAGCACCCATTGCCTCAAGTGTCAATTTTTTCATCACTGCGCATTGTAGTTTTTGGAAAATTGCTATTTTCTCCTTCACCCATTGCTTGTGAATTTGATTTGTCTTTGACTTCTACTTATTTGTGTTTCCTGTTTTTCTGGTTCGTCATGCTTATTTTCCCTTTGAAGTCATATCTTGTTCTACTTATTTTCTCAAAGAGAGTGTTTTGTGGATAGAATATAAATTATTTGGAGATACTTGTGGAACATTTGCAATATAGGTGAAATACTTTTCATCATTTTTTTTTTCTATTCATTTGATCAAATAAATTGTTGTTGATGTGAACAATTTTGATCTTTTGTTGTTCATTTACCATTTTGTTAACATTTTTTTGTGTTTCCAGGCTTTGGAGTCATCAAGTACTCTGATTATAGAGTTTACAGATGATGAGGAGAAGGCTCTTTGGATTAGAGGCCTTGTCCAAGAAACGTACAGAACTTCTGTAAGATTTAATCTGAGCTCTTTCTCAAGTCTCTCATATTCAAGTGCTTCCAGAGTCAGAGCTTCGTTTCTAATTTGGCATGTAGGCACCTCCTCCCATGGACATGCTTGGAGAACCTTCGCATGGCATATCTGACTTGAGTGGGCCCCCAACACTACTGAAGGAGCTGATCTTGTTGTCAATGGTACCCTGGTAGAAACAAAGCTATCTATATATGGAAAGGTACTAATTGATATGGCTATGACACCGAAAATGACATACTTCTTGTTGAAAAAATGCTGGAGTGAACTGGGATATCATTGGTGGTTGATTTCCTTACATATGGTGATAATAATATTGCAACAGGAGATCCTAAGCTGCCTTTTCTTTATTATTTCTGCAATTGTTTCCAGGTCCATGATGAAGATGGTGAAGCTCGTGGGGAAACTCTTGTGCTAGAAATCCTTGCAGGTGGAGGAAAGGTAAGAGTCATTTGTATGGATTTCTGAATGGATAATGTGTGTAATGTGTGAATCTTCCTAGTAGTTATGTTACTTGATTTCCTTAACCATGAACTGGTTTCCTTTGAGAGAAATTTAAAGTAATTAGCTTCTATAAGCTATGTTAAGAATTGAATCGACAATTGCTCCTCTCGGTAATCAAGTTTTTTTCATGTTTACCTCTGGTATTGAACTTTCTGTTTTCTACTGTCCATCACACCCTTCTTTCTATCCTTAATCCTCATATTAGCAAGTACCAAGTTGTTCGATATTTTATCTGTTTGTCATAATAGAATTAATACTTTAGTGTGGGCGTTGGAGACTTTGACCGTGAATATTCTATGACTTTGGTTGCCATAGCCTTAAGGGAAGTTTGTGTGATATGATGATAAGGACCATACTGGGACTCTCTCTGTCATCTTTGCCCTTCCTATACCAAACCTCTAATATATTCATTCAGGGAGGACAAATGAAAATCCAGGCACTCTTTTTAAATGAGATGGATCCCGTATGTAGGCTGCAGTTGATTTTGACCATCACTAGAGGCCATTTTCTTCTTTTTGAGATTGGTTTGTAAGTTCTAGCTGGTGAAAATGGAGGACAGTAAACTAGATGAGAGTTATACTATCTGATAATTTATGTGGGCAATTATTGTTAGTTATTTTTTTAAATAATCTTTAGCCTATTTTATTTTAGAGAAATGACCTTGTGAGACCCTCCCACACCCATGTGTGTAGGACCTCAAAGGATCATCATTAAATTTGACACATATCCCTAGAAAAGTCAAATCACACACTCATGTGATAACTTTTTTAGAGATGTGTGCCAAATTTCAGGGTGATCCTTTCGGATCCTATATACATGGGTGTGGGAGGGTCTCATAGGATCATCACTCTTTATTTTATAAAACTATTCAATAAGCAATTAAGCATGACAGAATTATCTTATATATATATATATATATATATATATATAT